CTCGCTGGCTCGGTGTTCCGTCTTCGCCAGCCTGAACGGCGGGCATGGGGCCCACTTCCTCTCGCCCTTCCCTTGACTAAACTGCTGTGGTCGCCGAGCCTGCAGGCAGTGACGTGAGGACCCTTTGGGGACGCTGGTCCCCTGGGCGGCTCGGGAGTGGGGCTGCCTCCCAGCCCAGCCCCCTCTCTCTGCACCCAGGCCCAGGAAGGACGTGCCCCACCGGTGCAGCGGCCACTTCGACGCGGTGGCCCAGATCCGCGGCGAGGCCTTCTTCTTCAAAGGTAACCGCCCCCCGCCGCCCCCATCGCTGGACCCAGTGGCCGGTGGACTGACGGACGGGCCCCAGCCCCACCCCTTGAAGCTCCACCCCCTCTGTCTCCCCAGGCAAGTACTTCTGGCGGCTGACCCGGGACCGCCACCTGGTGTCGCTGCAGCCGGCCCAGATGCACCGCTTCTGGCGGGGCCTGCCGCTGCACCTGGACAGCGTGGATGCCGTGTATGAGCGCACCAGTGACCACAAGATCGTCTTCTTCAAAGGTGGGCAGGCCCCCACCCGGGTGCCTGCCGGGCATCGCTGGCGGGGAGCCGCAGCCTGCAGCCCCCAGACCCCCAAAGCTTGTGTCTGCACGGGAGGCCAGTCCTGTGGTTGGCTCTGTGGGTCTAGAGCACAGAGCAGAGAGTAGCCGGTTCATCTGTGCGCGCAACCGGTTCGTAGCGACTGAGCACCTGCCGCGTGCCCCGCGCTGTGGGAGGCTCGCAGCCGGCAGAACACTTTAAGTGCGTACTGACCATTCCAGTATCTCCCTTGGATTCCGGCCAAGGATTTTTAAACGTGTTGCTTCTTTGTTTTCTAAATAACGGGGCTGATGGTTGCTAAGCCCTGGTGAGGGTGGGCGTAGACATAACAACCCCTCCCAGGGCATAATGTCACACTCCCACCCTTCCGTGGCAGAGCAACCAAGGATGTTTCCAGAACACCAAGTCAAGGATATACCCAACAAGCCCCTTGATCACACCATGTTTGGAAAGTTTTGCATTCAGATTGGAAGTTCTTGGTGATTTCTAACCGCTCTGTCCTTGTCTTCCTGACGAGGGTGCACACGCGCATGCACGTGCGGTCAGGCCTCCACCCGTGCCCTTCCTGCTTTGCGCGTGAGCGTGCTCAGCAGTGGTCAAGGCAGAGCGGAGCAAAGTGGCTTCTCGAGGGCTGGGCTCACCCCGGGTCTGTGAAGGGGCCGCCTTATGGGAAGCCGCGTCCTGGGCTGCTGTCCGGTGCAGGGCCCTGAGCCAGGCACGGAGCAGGTGCTCAGGGTTTACTCCTGCAGGCTGCGGGCGACGGCATCCCGGCGTCTACCTGGGGGAGGAGCAAGGGCTGGGGCCCTGCCCGGCGGGCTGGGCGAGCCCCAGCCCACGGCTCTTTCTCTCGCCCCCAGGAGACAGATACTGGGTGTTTAAGGACAATAACGTAGAGGAAGGATACCCGCGGCCCATCTCGGACTTCGGCCTCCCGCCGGGCGGCGTCGATGCCGCCTTCTCCTGGGCCCACAATGACAAGACTTATTTCTTTAAGGACCAGCTGCACTGGCGCTACGATGAGCACACGCGTCGCATGGACCCCGGCCACCCCGCCCGGAGCCCCCCGTGGAGGGGCGTGCCCGGCACGCTCGACGACGCCATGCGCTGGTCCGACGGTGAGCCCGGCGGCCAGAGGGAAGGGCGGCCCCAGGCGGCCTCAGAATCCCCGCCCGTGGAGTGGGGGTCGCGAGAGGGTCGTTGTGGGGTGCAGGGG